GCTTATTGAGCCGACCAAGAATCCCGGAGCGATGCAGATCCACGGTCGGTCCGCATTCTCAAAAGTTCGTGGCGCCGTGGGCATTCGTGCGCGCGTTCTGCATTCGCCTTGCACGCAGATATGTCGCGCAGCATCTGGCCAGTACGAAATACCAGGGCCCGGTTGTACGCTTCTTCCCTTCTTTTCTTCTCCGCGCGTCCTGCTCTGATCCGCTCCTCCGTGCCCCCGAACCTTCTTCTTTCACAGACGGAGCTCGCCGCGAGCAAGAAGGATGTCGTTGCGCAATTATTTTCACATGATTCCGATCGGTCAGCCAGATTAAGACCACCGATGGAACGCAGCGTCGCGTTCGTTTGCGATCCGCGTTACGCAGCAAAACCAGAATTCCCCGAGTCGGAGACCGGCTACGTGCGACTATGCGCCGCGACGCGGGCGACGCACAGACGTCGTCGTGCACGATTCCGGGTCCCCGAATCTCGCCGCCACGACGGGACAAAGACGTAAACAGATGAAGAAATCCGAGTGGAGTGGAACGGGTTCCGTTTCGTGTTCCGGACGTCTGTCGATCATCGGCCATCGTTTTTGTCGCGGCCTCGCGATCGCCTCTCCACCCCGATGCTCCGATTCATGTTCCGGTTATTAACCGAGTTATGAATGATTCCGCGCGATCGATCGCGCGAATGATAATTCACGACGTTCAGAGTTTTTTTGCGAAAAAATTTGAGATGATGCTTGGGTTGAACGAGAACGACGAATATTTGTTTTTAGAAATAGCACGCTGATAAAATGGAAGTCGCGTGACATTTATGCAAGCTGAAAACGTGCAATCAAGTTCATTGTTTCGATAAAAATCGAGGAACTCAGCTAAAATGAAATGACGTGTAAAAAACGTACTGTTGAAATAATTAATTATTCCCTTATATGCAGTATTGATCGACGAGGCATGATCATTACACAAGGATCTTTGATGCAGAATCTTTGACACGTACGGTAGTCGCCGATTGCACAACGGAATTAGCCGCGTGTACACGTGTGTAATGGAAGTTGTTCGCCCACAAGCACGCTTTCAGAGCTTGGAAAGCTATCTATAGATCGGAGAAGCGCTTTCGACGATGTGGGTGGCGACCTCAGTGGCCGTTCCACTTGGTGATTCTACAAACGGAGAGGATCGTCAACGTAGGTACGGAAGTCGTGCGACCAGTCTCTATATCTCAGACATTTATAAAATGTTCGTTGTAGCTGGATCAACAGTCCTACCGGTGTAAGGTTCATTGCATTCATGACTATACATGTGCTCCTCAAATACTGACATTTCAGTATCTTGCTCGACCGTGCATAAATCGTGGAACGCGAGGATCGTTAACCTTTTAACCATGTAACGAAGAATGTTTTGCAATTGTGATTCGTGAACTGCGTAGATACACGTATCGATCGAATCGGTATTTAAATTTTCTGTTCAATGTATCCCCGATGTAACAATGAATTAATGAATATCTTTTATTTCATCTAGTAAAATGAAATACTTTGTATAAAATAATAAATATTTCTTGCTTGATATTTCCATTTGCGAAAGTTAAAATTAATTTAAATGATTCCAGGAAAATCTCTGCTTCGTCCCTTCGGTGAAGTTTTTTGTTTCAACTGCGTGAAGTAATTAATTAAAAATAATAATTATGTTACTGCTTCTTGCGATCTTCTGGTTCCTTCTCTGCGAATTTCTATTTTAAACGTTTCTTCTCTCTTTGATTTGGCAGTTTGCATCGGTACCAATGGCCGCCTCTCCGTTCCATCCAACAAACAGCATCACTATCGGAACCTTCGAGACCGGTACACCAACTGTACTTATGTCGACGGTAACCTGGAGATCACGTGGCTGCAGAATGAGACATTCGACCTCAGTTTCCTCCAGTATATACGAGAGGTCACCGGTTATGTGCTCATCAGCCACGTGGACGTCAAGAAGGTTGTTCTGCCGCGATTGCAGATCATACGGGGCAGGACTCTCTTCAAGCTTACCATTCATGACATTGAGTTCGCCCTGTTCGTCACGATGTGCCAAATGCAGAACTTGGAGATGCCGGCCCTCAGAGGTAAAGAGAAATTTGTCGATCTTTTTTCTTCAATGAGCGAAATTTAACGTTCAAGATTGTAAGATTTCGCGGTTTTCTAAAATTCTTCCGCTCCTTCCTTTCATTTCTCTTCTATATCTTGCTTGTTACTTTCCTTTCTTCTCATTTTTTCCTTTCAGTATTCTCTTCTTTTCTTTCTTTTCTTTTTCTTTTCATCTCTTCTACCTCGGACCTTTCCATCGCTCTTCTCTCTTTTGTAAGAAAGACAAATTTAAGATAAATTACAAAATCGGTCTTATTAATCGAAATAGATCCCTAAAACCCTAAAGCATATTTTCTAAAACAATTTCATTCTCTATTATCACACGTCACACGTTCTCTAAATAAAATGTCAAACGCGAACAATGCTACTAAAAGGTCACAAAATAGGTATGAAAATTATCTCTAAGTAGAAAGAATAATGAATATATTATTCGGATTGTAAAAATATGTAGACTTGTTCTAACAGTGTTTCGAGCAGAAGAAACGTCTGCCTCGATTAAAACTACGTTGTATTAACAAACGTGCAACTAAATCACACGTGTTTTTGCCAGATATCCTCAACGGGAGCGTGGGCATATACAACAACTACAACCTGTGCCACATCCAAAAGATCAACTGGGACGAAATAATCACCGGGCCGAATGCAACGTACTCCTACGTGTACAATTTCACGTCGCCGGAACGCGCCTGTCCGCCATGCGATAAGAGCTGCGAGCAAGGCTGCTGGGGCGAGGGGCCTGAGAACTGTCAGAAATACTCCAAGACAAACTGTTCGCCTCAGTGTTGGCAGGGCAGGTGCTTCGGGCCCAATCCGCGCGAGTGTTGCCATCTTTTTTGCGCCGGTGGCTGCACAGGCCCGAAACAGAGCGACTGCATCGCATGCAAGAACTTCTTCGACGACGGCGTATGCACGCAGGAATGTCCGCCCATGCAGAAGTAAGTGGATCGATCCGTATCTCGTCCGTTTGTCGTCAACAATTTCGTTGCGTTCCCCTCGCGAATCAAGTCGTATCTGGATCGCGTTCGGGTTTCTATTTTCATCGGCGAGTGAAGCTGACAAGTAGGCCACGGATTTTCACTAAAAAAAAAAAAACTCTGCAAAATTGCGGAGTACATGTAATACAAAGAAATATGAAATATGAATTATCGAGGATACTGGGCTTTCTGCAAAACAATTTTCTATCGACGTTCTATTTTTTAAATTATATTCTCAGAATTACAATTTCACGCAGTAATTTAGTATTTTTTTTTTTTTTTTTTT